CAGTACCATTGCACCTGCATCCTTATGAAAATGGAGATGGTTGATGTTTGAAACTTGAAATACAGGAGAGAATCCGATTCCATGGATCAGTACTGTTTATTCCATTGAGTGCCACAGTACACGTACATATATAGGTTGGAAAGAATCAAAGATATTTTTCTAGCTAAAAAAAGAAAAAAAGGTTAAATCACAGCTCTCATCAATCATGTTCCCCAATTTCTATTAGCTTTAATCTATTTTACTTGTCACCATACGATTTTTAGGTGATATTTTCTTATATTATATATTTTTATTATCTTAAAATAATTATTATTATTTTTATTTTATTTAAAGTAAAGAATTGATGAGAATATATGTATTTCCTTATATTATCTTTAAAAGAATAAAAAATAATTAAATAACAACTTTAACTTAGCAAAACTTTTAAAAAAGAAACCATAAGAAATATTTTAGCAAGATTTTAATTACTCAAGAAGTCCTTTGATTTATGTTAGTATTCATATAAAAAAGTGAGATCAAGTGAGGAAAAAAAAAAGATGACGTGGTGTAACATACATTGGTCCGTAAATGATTAGAGTTTATTTGTATCTTTTAATTGAAATTTAATTTACATCATTTGAGAGTTGCGAGGATTAAAGCTTATTTGCATTGTTTCTAGTTCAGGAGCTCATGTGTTAATTTGAAAGAAGTTTAGGGCTTAAAAATAAAAAATAAAAATAAAAAGAGGAGGTTTTGCCTGTCGAGAATTCTTCTTTAAATAAGGACAAGTGTGGCTTACGTAGGTTAAAGAAATATACAGGGCAATAACTTGGGGTAAAGTTATAGCCTCCCATAAAAAAAAGTGATCGTGATATAAATTTTAAAATTATTGATTTTATTTAGTTTAGTTATTAAAAATAATTGATAGTTATAATTTTTAGTTAATAAATAAAAAAATAGTTAATATTTTTTTTATTTAACAAATTAAAATTAATTTATTAACTGATATTTTCATATATCCTAACTAATTATTTATCAAAAAAATATATTGAAATTTTTGTAACCCTAACAATATATCCTAACTAATTATTTACGTAGGTAAAGTCGCTTAATTCTTGGTTAGGTTGCATTGCAGAATGACTCTTTAGAGTGCTAAAGTGAACATCGTTCATCCTCACTTTACACAACAAACAATAGTACAACTTTACTTGTGCTTTTTCTCAATCATTTATCGTCCTGCTTTTCTTGTCTTTGCTTTGCTT